TCTCTCATGAGCCTTTCTTCCGCAATGGTTTCTTTACTGGTCATCTCACATCCATTCTTGTCTATTTTTCCTCATCCAATTCACATGTAATACTGCAGCCAGAGTTTAAAAGCCAGAACTTTAAAAACTATAGGTCAGGTCATGGTACTTTTTGCTTAGAATCTTCTAGTGGCATATGACCCAGAAATTCTACTCCTAGGTATATAATCAAGAGAAATGAAACCATATGTTCACATAAAAACTTATCACAAATGCTCATGGTAACATTATTCATAATAACTAAAAGGTAGAAACAACTCAACTGTCCATTGACTTATGAATGGACAAACAAAATGTGGCATTATCTATATGATGGAATATTATTCACCCATGTAAAGGAATACAGTACTGATACATGCTATCACATGGATGAACCTTGAAAACATTAAGTAAAAGAAGTCAGTCACAAAAGACTGTATTTTTATCCCATTTATACAAAATGTCCCAAATAAGCAAATCCATAGACAAAAAGTAGATCAGTGGTTGCTTAGGCGCAGGGGGAATGAGGAGACTGTGGGGGATAGCTACAGGGTACAGGATTTCTCTCTAAGATGATGAAAATGTTCTGTAATTTACTGTGATGATGGTTCCACATATCTTTGAATATACTAAAAACCACTGCATTGTACACTCTAAATGAGTGAATTGTATGGTATGTGAATTCTCTCTCCCTCTATATATATGTATATATGTATATAGCTCCTACCCACTCCTCAAGCTTCATCCTAGACCTTTCCCCCTCATTCTCTACTCTTAGTCACAATGCCTTCTCTCAGTTTCTCCAAAAGATCAAGTGCCTTTTCACTTTAGTGTCTTTTCAATTGCCAGACCTTTTGTTTGGAATGCCCATTCCCTTCTCTTCACTTAGCTATTACTTAACCAGCAGATCTCAGGTTGAGCAGTATCATACCTTCATGAGAGCCGCCTTTCATCCTCCAGGAGAAGGGAAATCTTTTTTTTTTTTTTTTTTTTAAGAGACAGGGTTGTGCTCTGTGGTCGAGGCTGGAGTACAGTAGTGTTATCATAGTTCATGGCAGCCTCAAACTCCAGGGTTCAAGAGCCCTTCCCACCTCAGGCTCTCAAGCAGCTGGGAGCGTATGCCACCACCCTGTTAATTTTATTTTTGTAGACATGGGGTCTTGCTATGTTGCCCAGGCTGGTCTTGAGCTCTTGGTCTCAAGTGATCCTCCCAATTTGGCCTCCCAAAATGCCAAGGTTACAGGTGTGAGCTACCATACCTGGCCAAGAAGGGAAGTCTTCTGTCAGCAGATCTTCGGTAAGACACTGTTGTAACAACTCATACTACTACTTTATAATATATTACACAAATATAATTATTTACATTTTTCTTTTTCACTAGCATATTTGTTTCACAAGGGGTCACATCATATTTGTCTGGTTTACTGATGTATCACCCGGGCTTCTCATAGCACCTGGCAACAGGTACTTTAAAATATTCAATAAGTATTTTGAAGATGAATGAATGCTAGAACATATCCAGTGAATGAGTCCAACCAGTCTACATCTAACATCTCCCTACTTACTTATCTTGTGCCATTCCTAAAATACACTTATCTTGACCTGTACTTGATGTACCACATTCAACTCATAATTCACTAATATTTTGATTTAACCCTTTGAGTCACATATCTGGTCTGTTACAGGTACTATCTTATTGATTGTAGGTTACAACATTTCCAGAAGGCAGTAAAACTAAGTTTCTTCAAATAACAGTTCATGCAACAAGGTATTTAATAATGCAGTCTTATAAATAACCTGATATCCCCATCCTTTCTGGCATCAAGGTCTTAATGATGAGTTTAACTCATTTTACTTCTCTCAGCTCAGAAAGATTTTTTAAAGAGAGTTTTTGTCAGCTAATGAAAAGATTACTTTTGCATTTAGTTTCTACGTGAAACTAATAGTATCTAAATTATATTTGAGCTATTAAGTATATAAGTATTTACTATTCAAGATTGACTTATTACTATTTCCTTGGCTGGAGACCAATTTTAAAAAGACAGTTACTGGCTCTGAAACCTGTTAGCCCAAAAAATTAGTTTCCTGCCATTTTATGTAATGAAATGAAAAACAAAAACAAAAACAAAAAAAAGAAAAAGAAAAAGAAAAAAGGAAGGAAGGAAAAGAAAAGAAGAAAAACACTATTTTCTAACTCAACATCTCCCTTAACTTCCTTCTCAAAATGTGTCTTTATAAAAAAAAAAGTCTTTATAATAGACACATTAGAGCTGTCCTTATTATAATAAGCAAACATAAAAAGTTCTATTTGTATTGTATCTTGTATCTTGTTTAATTTGTATTGTATCTTTTATACTTACTACACATATACACACACTCACATGGGACCTGATGGCTTCACTGCTGAATTTTACCAAACACTTAAAGAAGAATTAGTACCAATCCTACTCAAACTATTCTGAAAAACAGAAAAGGAAGGAATACTTCCAAACTCACCTGATGAGGCCAACATTACCTTGATACCAAATCAGACAGGGCACATCAAAAAAAGAAAACTACAGGCCAATACTAGGAAACCAAGTTCAACAACACATTAAAAAGATAATTCATCATGACCAAGTGAGATTTATCCCAGGGATGGTTCAAAGATACACAAATCATTCAGTATGATATATCATATTGACAGAATGAAAGATAAGAACCCTATGATCATTTCAATTGATGCTGAAATAGCATTTGATAAAATTCAACATCCTTTCATGATAAAAACCCTCAAAAAACTGGGTATAGAAGGAACATACTTCAACACACTAAAAGCTATATATGACAAACCCACAGCTATTATCATACTGAATGGGGAAAAACAGAAAGCCTTTCCTCTAAGATCTGAAACAAGACAAGGATGTCCACTTTCAACCACTGTTACTCAACATAGTGCTGAAGTCCTACTTAGAGCAATCAGACAAGAGAAAGTAATAGATTGGGCACAGTGGCTCACGCCTGTAATTCTAGCATTTCGGAAGGCAGAGGTGGGAAAATGTCTTGAGTCCAGGAGTTTGAGACCAGCTTGGGAAACACAGTGAGACCCCATCTCTATTAAAAAAAAAAAAAAAAAAAAGAAAGAGAGAGAGAGAGTAATACATGACATCCAAATTGGAAAGGAAGAAGTCAAATTACCCTTGTTTGCAGATATACAATGTTATATTTGGAAAAACCTAAAGACTCCACCAAAAAAACTATTAGAACTGAAAAATTCAATAAAGTTGCAGAATTTAAAATCAACATACAAAAGTCAGTAGCATTTTTATTTGCCAAGAGTGAACAATCTGAAAAAGAAATCAAGAAAGTAAACCCATTTGCAATAGTTACAAATAAAACAAAATATCTAGGAATTAATCAAAGAACTAAAAGATCTTTACAATGAAAACTATAAAACATGGGTGTAAGAAATTAAATAGCACACAAATAAAGATATTCCATATTCATGGACTGGAAGAATCAATATTGTTAAAACGTCCATACTATCCAAAGCAATCTACAGATTCAATGTAATCCCTATCAAAATACCAATGCTATTCTTCACAGAAACAGAAAAAACAATCCTAAAATTCATATGGAACTACAAAAGACCCAGAATAGCAAAGCCTCCCTAAGCAAAAAGAACAAAACTGGAATAACATTACCTGACTTCAAATTATACCACAAAGCTATTATAACCAAAACAGCATAGTTCTGACATAAAAACAGACACACAGACCAATAGAACAGAGTAGAGAACTCAGAAATAAATCCATACATCTACAGTGAACTCATTTTTGACAAAGGTGCCAAGAACATACATTGGAGAAAAGACAGTCTCTAAATACACACAAATATAAAAGCTCCTTCCTTTGGATATTCAAAATAATACGAAGTCAAACTGAAATCTAAATTTTGATAAGATTTCACCTGGTCTAATCTTAACAAGGGATAATTATAGCCTTAGTCTTTAAGTACATTTGAACCTCCCAAATGCGGTACATTCTATTTTTAATACTTCCTCGAGTAGGAGAAAATGACCCATTCTTGCTTGGTCACATTTTCCAAGGTTTCTCTTAATGCTGGCAATCAAAAAGTTTTTCTTAGCTTCTACCTTAAATATCTTTTATGTCAATTCACAATGTTCTCTCAACTTCTCTCTAAGGAAATTACAGAATACCTAGTCACTATTCTTCTACCATATCATCACATACTATTCATTTCTTTTTCTGGTATTCTTCTCAAAGTAATCAAAAGTTTATATCCTAGTTCTATTTCTTTGAGCCTTGTGTCATACTGCTCCCTTTCTTTGCTGCCAGAGAAGTCAACATAGACTATCCATAACAAAACAAAAGATCCTTCTCTGTGCTTCACAGGTTCTCCATTACAAAATGGTGAAATAATGCCTAACAATTGTCTCTATCACAAGACAAACAGAAAAAAGATATGCCTAAATCCATAACGGCATAAGTGTCTATGCTAAATAATCATAAATAATTGAGTCACCAAAAACTGACTGCTCAGAGGCAAAAGACAGAACAATAATTTAAAGATATATTTTCAGGCTGGGCACAGTGGCTCAGCCCTGTAATCCCAACACTTTGAGAGGCCGAGGTAGATGGATCACGAGGTCAGGAGATCGAGACCATCCTGGCTAATATGGTGAAACCCCGTCTCTACTAAAAAGACAAAAAAATTAGCCGGGCATGGTGACACACGCCTGTAGTCCCAGCTACTCGGGAGGCTGAGGCAGGAGAATCGCTTGAACCCAGGAGGAGGAGGTTGCAGTGAGCCGAGATGGTGTCACTGCACTCCAGGTTGGGTGACAGAGCAAGGCTCCATCTCAAAAAAAAAAGATAAATTTTCATAAATGTATTTGAAATTGGGAAAAGCACTTTATGCCCATTCCTTTATCTTGTACCTCAAAGCAGAGCCCCACAAGTGAAATCAGTAACTCAACATACCTCCTCTTCTCCCTGGCTTCCACAGAGGAATCTGTTCCAGTAATGGAGAGTACAGGAGTAGCTGTAACCCCATTGGCAGTGCTAGGCAGAGGGCGATTGGTGATCACACAGAGCGGGGTGCTAGAAGAGACATTGTCTGCTGTTTTCTCTGCTATCGAGTCAGCCTGGGATTTGTGAGGAGTCCTGAAATAAAAAAAGATACAAGCAGAAAGGAAATGGTTAGGCATGCTATACAACAAAGCACTGGCACAGAGACAGAAGGATTAAAGAGCGGTTCATCTAGGAAATCTTGCTCTGATGTTTGTTGGATTTTTAATTTTGAGCTCTTACAGTTTGGAATAGTATAATTACACGTTTAGTCTGACATCCTTTGCCTGAGGAGTTACATTTTATGAGACTTGTATGTGTATGTGTGTGCCTGAGATTTTGTTTTAACAAAAGTCATTAGCTATGGCACAAGGCAAGATAGTGACATATGCAAGAGTGTTTTAAACGACTCCCCAGTAACATCTGGTCTCCACACATGCACACAGAGAAAGGGCCTCTCTACACAAGAAAAAGACATTAAAGTCACTTACGATATTAGTCTCTACCTGTTCCTTAATTCTTGGCAGTGGGAGTCCTCAGCCTAGATTTGATGACCATCTTCTTGGATTATCCAGAGACAACTGATACTACAGCTCAGTGTGCTTAGTTCTCCCTCACCTAGTTCAGTAACTGCTCTCTCTTTCCATTTAACCAAATGCCTGTCTATATTCATAACTGCAGAAGTGAGAAATTGAAACAAAAACCAAACCAGATTCTATAAGTATCCTTAACTACAGACTTTTCAACAGCAAGCTGTATAATTAAACTCATTTACATGAAAACAAGATCTTTGTTTCTTAACAAAGAGTTGAGAGCAACCATTGACTCTCCACCCAAAAAGCTATCATTTGTGATGTCACAGCTGTTGCTGGGGTAACAGAGGTCCACAACTGATACAGAGATGGAGAAAGCAATGAAAAGCACAAATATTAAAAATCTATTTTTTTCACCTACTCACAATTATTAGCAGAAATGTTCACAGGTAGCTCTAAGCTTACTTCCAAATAATCACATTACAAGCTTGAAAAAATAATAAAAATATAAAAATATAAATATGGTACCTAGATAAAACATAAAAGCAGACTATTTTAAAAGACAGAAGTAATATCTAAAAAACACATGCTAATTCTCCAGAAGCAATTAATGACTACAAAAAAAGGTGAAATTTTATAGTCATTTTTTTAATAAAAAAAGAAAAGGCAAAAAATTCCTCAGACTTACAAGATAAGAATCTATAGGAAGTACTAATAAAATTAGCTAGACACACAGCTATAAAAAATTACACTTAACCAAACCTTACTTTAAGTTCTTTTTAGGTTAATAACATGTTTTGGTCTCACTGTAATTTCTTATGCTGTTGAAATGCCAAGGATTTTATTTTATTAAATTACATAATAGGACTTTTACTATTATTTTGAAATGCAGTGTAATTTTACAAGTAGATTGTTAGAATAAGCACAGCCCTAGAGCAGAAATCAGAGGATATGCAATGGGGTAGAATAAACATGGGCTTTGGAAACACAACATTTGCTTAAATGTAGACTCTCTGATCTCTTCTTCATTGACAAAATAGAGATAGTGGCACCTTAAAATACAGGGTTCTTCTAATGATTAAATAAAATAATGTCTGCAGGACACCTAAAATAGTACCCAGAATAAAATACAAACTCAGCAGAAACAAACGGTGACAAAATAGATAAGAGCTTTGAAATGTACAAATCTGGGTTCAAATCCCACCTCAGTTCCTCACTGGCTGTGTGACCTTGGGCAGATGATTAACCTTTCGGTCCGAGTTTCCTCATCTATAAAATAATACTTTATATAATAGGGGGCTCATTATAAGAGAATAGATGATACATGTATGCATGAGACAGCTAGTTGTCTAACCCATATCCATTGTCCCTTTCTTCTTTATGAACTGAATCCCTGTATTATTGACGGCAGCAATATACCTAGTTAAAGTACACACTTCTCAAAGTCTCCTGGCCACTAGAGGTACCCAATAAGACATATGCAGACAACTAGTACTTCTGGGAAAACTCTCAGTTCAGAGGCATTCTTTCTTTGTCTGCTTCCTTCTTTCCTCCTTCTTCTTCCGTAGAGTACAGCCATGATAGCTAGAGCTACAGCAGTTATTCTGGACCACGAAGCCACCCATGGAAATGGCAGCCATGACACAAGAACTGTGGAGAAGAGAGAACCTGGATCCTTTAATGACTGTGGAGCTACTGAGCCAGCTTTGCATATTTCTGGACTTTCTTAAGTGCAAGAAAGAAAAACTTTATCTTATTTAAGCCACTACTACTTAGATTTATTGTTACATGTAAGCAAACTAAATCCCAATATAATACCTAACCAAATGCCTGTCACATAATGGGGTCCAACAAATTGCAGTTGTAATTATTTTCTCTCAGTTGCAGCTCTTCATAGTTATAGTAATAGCAATATAGTATTATTATATAATATGTAATATTATATATGTAAAATATAGTAATATGGCCAGGCACAGTGGCTCACGCCTGTAATCCTAGCACTTTGGGAGGCCAAGGCGGGCGGATCATGAGATCAGGAGATCAAGATCATCCTCATTCTGGCTAACATGGTGAAACCCCATCTCTACTAAAAATACAAAAAATTAGCCGGGTGTGGTGGCATGCACCTGTAGTTCCAGCTACTCGGGAGGCTGAGGCAGGAGAATAGCTCAAGCCTGGGAGGTGAAGGTTGCAGTGAGCTAAAATTGCACCACTGCACTCCAGCTTGAGTGACAGAGAGAGACTCCATCTCAAAAAAAAAAAAAAAACATATATATATATATATAGTAATATAATATAGTAATAATAACCTCTCTATGTTTGTTTCTTCATCTATGGTGATAATAGTTAACATGTTATGCAAATGGATTATTATAAGGACCTAATAAATTTACCCATAATTACACAGTATTATTATTAATAATCCATCATAAACCCTTACCTCCTGGCTGAATTAATGATCACCACTTATTTTAGGGAAAGAAATCTAGTAAACTGACAAATATCAATCAAGCACTATCACTGGCGTTCCTGCACCAACACCATCATTAAGATTTTTTTCATTTTCTTTGTCAGTTGTAGACACAGACCCAAAAAAAGAGACCCTTTCCCACTACACATAAAGGATTAAAAGCCACAGGTAAAATTACAGCTAAAGTACTAATGTACTTTCACAATAACACTCTACCATGCTATCCCTTAGCTGAACTAGAAACCAAGCAGATACTGCCCCCAGAACACAGTTTAGACAAACACAAATCTGTCCCTTTTCACAATGTTTCCAGCAAAATACTCTCGTTGGCTGGGAGTTTTCAGAAGGCTATCACAGGCTTTTGGAAAATGAGTTAGCGTTCTTTCTGCTTTGGGTTTGCATGCCATTTAAAAGACTAAATACAAGAGATTCCTATTATAATTACTGGAAAATTAATAGAAATAAAATATGAAAATATTTTCAATATTTAATTTAGCACAATAGTATGACCCTTAAATTGTAATCACAACTGGTAAGGTTGTTGAGAGATGAAATCAGTCATATTAAGCTGATGTCCAAACACCAAGTACAATTATACATACCCTTTGATTATTCAATATGCAACTGTTGACTGGTTAATACAAGTCAAAGCAAAAGCATCTTCATTAAATTCAGACATTTTCTCAGGAATTCTAACTTGCTTTTATAGTGACAAAGTCTCTTTGGTTCAAATTTCATATCTGTTTTCAGAGCCATTAACTTTGATGAATGCAACTCAAATGGCTCCAAGAAGCCTTACCTGCCATGATGTACAGATGCAGTAGTGTTTGCACTGATTGGTGCAGGGCAAGAAGAGGCAGGTTGCCACTGGCTGCCCCGAGAGGTAGATGAACCAATGGTAATGGGTGAGGTAGCAGGAGATGAATTGCGATTGGCTGAAATGTAGGGACTTGTGGGGTCACTACTTCTACCAAATGAAGCACTGCAAAACAGCACACAGTCACTTTCTTCAGGACATGCTGCTCACCCACCATTTCCCAGCACCACCTTCCCACCCAGATTGTGCACTTGAAATGAATATAGACCAAAGAAAGGGTATGACAACTGGGAAGTGAAGTGATCAACTCCAGTTAGAGCTGAGTCACTGGCAGCAAGCAGGCAATCATCCAAAAGAATGAAGGAATCATCACTCTTTGAAGGATGGTCTTTTTGGTCAATCATCCAAAAGAGTGAAGGAACGTGGAGGAAGAGAGATGATACTGAATGAGGGAAAGCAGGAAAGTAGAATATATGATAAGAGGAGAGGCTAAGAAAGGGAATAATAGGAAATAGGATAATTTTATTAGAAGAAAATAATTCCCAACAAACCCAATGCAAATAATCATGCAACCCCAAATGTCTACCTGATACAGAATTAGCACTGCAAAAGCAAAAGTAAGACCAGAGAATTTGGAGAGGTTGTGGAGCAGAGATTTAAAATTTAAAAGTGGAAAAGGGTAAAGAAGCTCTGTGAAAAAAAGTGACTTTGAGAACTGCAGTTATTCAGCCTAAAGCAAAATTGCCTCTGGGAGGATTTAAAGTTTTAAGTCTAGAAAGTAATACTGTATGAGCAATAAAGGGCAACTTTTATTTGTTTCAATTGAAGACAGGTAAGAACCATCTCAATTGCAGAAAAAAATTATTTGGGTTCAAATTTCAAAAATACTTCTTGACTATAATAGAAATGAGACACTTGAGGAGATAACAAAAAAAAAAAGCTAGAAAGCCTTCCTTGGAAAAGAGGTATTTTAATATGGGCTATATGAAAGGAATTTCTGCCTATACACAAGAGATGAACTAGAAAATGGAATGTATATGAAGGTTTGGCATAGCTGGGAAATGACAAATTTCTCCTTACACTTGCTCTTTTAAATGGTGATGGCATAAGATTCTTTCTTTTTAAAAATCATAAGATCGGCTTTTATAAAATCAAAAAATGCTTTAGGATTACAGGAGAAGAGCTTTGGAAATTCAAGATATGAAGCAAGTTGTACATCTTTTCCTCAAAAAGTGCTCACATTAAGCATGCTTTTGATCCTAAACAGAGGCAGCCTGTCCCTTCACTGTTCACCATAACTTTGCCAAACTACATCTATCAAACCAAATGCCTCTCAACCCATTTGCTGATTATTTGGATCACAAAAATCAACAACCTCACCACAGAATAACTCCGTGCCTGGAAATTAAATGGCAGCTTTCTCCCTTCCCTTGATCTAGAACATTATTTTCTCAGAAAAGTTTTCTTGATCTTGGATTCAACTATAAGGAATAATAATGCATCCAGGAAGACCAAGGCCTTAGCCATTAAGACAAATAGGTGATAGCCTCATAGAGCAAGAAACACCTCTTTTGTGTAATAAAGCATCAGTGAATCCATCAAACTTTCATACTTCCCAAGTTGAGCCCTTTCTTATAGAATGTATCTACAAAACTGAAGAACATTAAAAGGCAACAATGACTGTTTTCTAGCTATTTCCCATGTTTCAACAATAACTAGTTGACAAGTTTTTCTGTCAAGTGGAAATAAGTGTTGATTACAAAGAGTTAATGTGCTCATCTAGTCTATGGCCAGGGCCTGTTTCTAAGGTGGCCAACCAATCATCTAAAAAAACCCAGTGATGAAGGCTATGGTATGAGGAGATAGTGGGAGGGGTTAAGTGGAAGTAAAGAAAGAATTCAAAGTAAGCAATAAAAAACAGATTCTTCCACATTAGCAGCAAAATTCAAATTAAAATATTAAGTATTTTTGTAGCTTAATGGCTCTGGCAAAGGTGCTTGGTTTGCTGGCTAGTATGTGGCAAAGAAAATAATTGCAGAAAGGGAATACAGATGAGAAAAGAAGGAAACCCATGTACCTTCTCTGCACCAAACTTGCGAGTTTCACATCTTGATGGATCTGAGGGCCATTAAAGTCATAAGAAAAAAAACAACTCAAGTCCCTAAATTAACAGGCTTCAGTATGAAACTTCTTTAATGCAATAGAAAACTGTCCCCATTTCCCATCCCTCCCCACTTTATAGTATCCCTCCCTTTCTCCCCCGCAAAATAGCACATGGGATGAGAACTACTCTGTTTCAGAATAAGGAGAACCAGCTACTGGACAAGGATAACTTAAATTCAGTCTTGCCCAGACATTACTGAAAGCCACTTCTGACTGAAAATTTTAACAGAATGGAGAGGATGAAGTATGAAGCCAGTAGTGAGAATCTGAAATTAGCTTACTTTAATTCAATTATTAAGAGAATAAATTAATTTTAATTTTAAATTATTCAAGATGTTAATTCTAAGAAACCTGAAAGTAATTCATTTTGATTCATTTCTGTGGTGTTAATCCAACATAAAAAGGCATACAATCCTTACCCATATTCCCATGGCTAGAGTGAAAGGAACATCTCCCACCCCCTTTGAGCCTGGTACCTTTTCAAGTAGGTTGATACATAGGTGGAGGGGGCAATTGTCTGTGGGGTTTCATTTCCCTTTGCTTCATCCCTCCATAGCTGCCGGGTATAGGAGCCACTCCTCACTAGATTAACAGCTGATTCTCTGTAGAAGCATGAAAGGAAAACAAAACACTGATTCCTACCACCAGTTTTTGTCCATGATACAATGCAAACAGAGAGAGAAGAGACAAACAGGCAAACTATAACATGGCTAATAGACACATTCTTCAGGTGATTCTGTTTTACGTACCTGTTTTCTGTACAGAAGAGAAGTATTACTGCCTGCTTTCTTTTATCAACTTTGAACCAATTAATTTCAACAGGTACCAAATTCCTCATGTCAAAGGTCTCTAACTCTTTTGTAATAAGAAGTCACTTTTGATCCTCACTTAAAAACTGCTTTGCGGCTGGGCATAGTGACTCACATCTATAATTCCAGCACTTTGGGAAGCCAAGGCAGGCAGATCACTTGAGGTCAGGAGTTCAAGACCAGCCTGGCCAACATGGCGAAACCCCATCTCTACTAAAAATACAAAAAAATTAGCCGGGCATGGTGGCACATGCCTATACTCGAGAGGCTGAGGCTTAAGAATCACTTGAACCCAGGAGGCAGAGGCTACAATTAACCAAGATCGTGCCACTGCACTCCAGCCTGGGCGACAGAGAGAGACTCTGTCTCAAAAAAAAAAGAAAATAGAAAAAAGGGTGTTGCAATCAGTCTTACTAGTAGGTGGCTTTTAAGTTAAGCAGAGAAGGAAATGATGGGGGAAGATGAAGAAGTTACTGAGAAAAAAAGGTTATTACAGAAGGGGAAGGGGAAGGAAGACTTGCTGGAAGCCTCTTTAGCATTATAAATGAAAAGGTATCCAGGAAAGTGCTGTACTAGGATTTTTGATCCACAATTGATAACTCAGGGTCTTTGCTGCAAAACCTATGGGTTTCCATGCTTCACAAGATTCTCTAGCACAATCATTCTCAAACTTTAATGTGTATTAAATTTCATTAGAATGCAGATTCTAATTCAGTAGATCTGGAGTAGGGCCCGAGATTCTGGAGTCCTAACATGAACCCGGGCCAGCAGCAGTGGCTCACACCTACAATCCCAGTGCTTTGGAAGGGCAAGTCAGGAGAACCACTCGAGGCCTGGAGTTTGAGACCACCCTGGGAAACATAGCAAAACCCTGCTTCTATTAAAAAAAATTTTTTTTTAATAAAAATAAAATGTACCCAGGTGATGCCAATGCTGCTAAGGTTTGAGATCACATTTTGCCCCGAGATGCAGCAATACTTCAAAATCCCTATATTTAACTAATTAGGAAGACTTTAATTTTACCTTCTGACAAATTAGAAGTTGGTCAATTTAATTAAATAACATTATTTTAGTGTTCACTATGTGTTAGGCACTGTGCTAGGAACTAGGGGTCCTTGAGAAACCAGACAGACACAGATCCTACCTTTACAAAGCCTGCTGGTGGGCCAAAACCAATGCATGTGTGGAAAAATCAGGGAAGACTTCCTAAAGAAGGTAATGTCTAAGCTGGAGTTAGAATTTGAAGAATAAAGAACTAGCAAAGCAAGGATGTAAGAGTTGAGAGGTGTTCTAAGCAGAAGGAACAAACAATTCATAATGTGGTAAGGAAATCTGAGGGAAAAATGCAGAAGAGTAATGCCCAGGAGATGACTATGTCCAGCAGACCTAAGAGGACGAGGACCATCTTTTGGCTGGTTTTAGGATTACCTGTTCTCCTTTTCTTCAATATCACTTGTGCTGTTGAGCTTCCGGGGTGCTAGTGAACTAATATAGCTTTTGTTTTCTCTCTCCTGTAAAATAAAAAGAAGTAAAGCACAAGAAAGGTACAATACTGGCACAGCGTAAAACATTTTGAGTAAAAAAGCAGAACTTAATATACCTATATAATCTTATTTCTGGATCCCACACTAATTCTATTTTGAGTGGTATTTACAAAAGGTTAGCTTTCAAAAGCTTACTCCTAACTTTCTTCCATTAAAAAACAGTATGAAGGGAAATAATTCTCATGGGAAAGTCAGGATGAGCAAATAAAGAAAACAGCAGCACAAATTACACAAAGCAGCACCTCTGCCAAGAGAGGAGGAGAGCCTTTGAAAAGCCACAAACAGAAAGCTCCACTCTAATATTCTTGATGAAATAAGATTTATGTAGTCCCCAGTAGTCCCCAGTACATCTTTTCCTTGAAATACAGCTTCCTTAGGAATATGTACAATAGTATGCTGCAGAGTTAATCCAACCAATATGCCTCATCTCTTTGAGTAGTCTCCAGAGATATAAAGCAAGAGGACTGTGATTAAAAGGAAGATGTGACCCCAGAAAAAAGCACTAAGAGAGTCCTATAAAATCTGGAACTAAAGAGTGAAGAAAATAAAAATTTACTAATCTTGAATGAATATACAAACTATTTGTGAAGTTAGCCTAACCATATTAATGAATGAATGACAAGTTAAAAATTATTTTTCCAAGTACTAATTTGCCTGAGCTTAATTTGGATTCAAAGCCCAGAGAACCTCTTAGGCCATACTGAATTTTTTTTTTTTTTTTTTTTTGCAGAGTAGGAGGCTTTATTTCACTGTGGCGGGAAAGCAGCCTAGACAGCGTGGGGCAGGCAAGGCAGCAGGGGCTGCCCCCAAGCCTGTTGAGGAGAAGTTGAGGCCAGCCCCAGCGGAGACCTAGCCCAGTGGGAGAAGGGGAGTGGGGGGGAAACTGGGTCTGAAGGAATGAGGGCCCCCTTGCTCTGAGCATTCCTCCTAGAGGGCCTCAGTCCCTCCTACTGGCTGGGCTGCACAACCCCCAATCCTTGCTGCCTCCAACTTGGAGGAGGGGGCTGGACCAGGGAGGGCAGTGGACAGGGAGCCTGGGGGAGTTAGGGAGCGCAGGGCAGGGTCCATGGTGTGCAGACGGGGTGGTGGCCACCTGGGTGGTCAGTTCCTGGCAGGAATTACCACAGAAAGTGCCACACCCTCTAAGGCAACAGCAGTCGCCCCAAACAGCCACTTCCATGGGCTGGACCAGGCACCCTTGCTGGGGCATGGCTGGGGTTGCCCAGCATTTTCTAGTACAGCGTGGTCTCCATGCTCCGCTGTGCTGCGTGCTTCTTCACCAGCTTCGAGAGCTCTGCGTGGATAGTCTTGTTGGAAGGTTCCAGCTTCAGGACCGCCCTCAGGATAGGGATGACCTCACTGTACTCACCCTGCTGGGGCAGTATCTTGCCCTTGTGGAAGACAGCCTTAATGTTGTCCAGATGGTGCTCCCACGAGGTTGCAGGAGCACAGGGCTGCGCAGTAGTGGTCGAGCTTCACCTGTGAGGCCACCAGGTTGTTCAGACACCTCACCCTCAACTGCAGGAGCTGCTTCTCCTCCTCGAACGTCATGTCCACTTTGGCGCTGGAGGTGACGGTCTTGATGGCAAGGTCATAGGAGTTGGTGGCCAGGACGAAGTCCGCCCACTGGTAGTGGGCACTGCCACACTCCCACTTCCGGTTGGCCAAGGCCACGCGCTCCTGCCCTATGAGCATCTCCAGGTCAGGCCAGTCCACGGCCATCTTCGGGGTCACCTCCAGGCATAGGGCCGCGTGCGGGGGATGTATGGGCTCCTGTCCTGGGGGCTGTAGCAGTACATGCAGTCAGCAGTGACCATGGCTGCCTCCCCCACGTCCATGAGTTAGACACTGAGATCCAGGGCCTGGATGACCTCACAGACGCTCAGGGTGAACACTAGCTCCGGCTCCTCCTGCACCCACATGCCATTCTCTTGTGATGTCTGCAAATGCATGGTGACCACCTGGCCCTTGACTGAGCAGCTCAAATCCGGTGGCCCTGGGACAAGCGTCTTCTTCCTCAACAGCTGGTTATGTCTGGCCACTCTTCTGGGGCCGGGGACGGGGCAGGCTCAGGCTCCATGGCAGTGAGGAACTCTCGGGCCAAGGTCCCGGGCTGTTCAGTCTCTTCCACCAGGGGCTGTCCCATGTCCTCCAGCAGTGGCAGCTCTCTAAGGTCATCTTCCTCCTCCTCTCCCTCCTTGCCCTCTGCATTCTCGACCCCATCCAGCACCTCGAAGTCCTCGAGCAGTGGGACCCTGGCAGGAGGCGGGGGCAGAGGGCTCAGAGGGTTTAGCACACGATGCCATGCTGCTGAGGGGATAGGAATTGGCCCTCTGGCTCCAGGACCCCTGCCTGCGGTCCTGTGCCCCCCTCCGCCATATTGAAATTTTTATGTTTCTGATCTATTTTTTGCTTTAGGTAAGGGGGCAAGGAAGACTGAACGAACCAAAAGGAAAAGCTATTTTTAAAGTTTTTTTTTTTTTTGGCCAAGTAAATAATAGCAAGCAAATAGCTACTTAATTAAACTATCAGTGTGCCTGTCTCCCTTTAAAAGCTTTGCATTTCCAAAATCAACTTAAGGACTAGAAAATATTTTCATTTGTTGCTAAGATTGAATTTTCATGGAAAAAAAAACTGCATTGGAATTCCCCCACACCCTCCCAAACTGCACCTTATCTTTGTTGTCTAGTAGAGCAGAAATCCGAGGGCTTGAAGAGGAACGGTAGATGGAAGAGCCTCGGTCCCTTAGAGGTTCCCTGGAATTGGCCACCTCACTCAGCATGTTGTGGCTGCCAGTTTTTCTCAGTCCCAATCTCCACGAAGAAGGAGATTCATCTTTGGGCTCTTCTGGCTTGTTAAAAAGGCCAGAAGAGAACTACGAGAGAAGCAAAAGAAATGAAAAATAAAGGCTCTGATGATTCTTTTTCAGCCTATTTGCCTTTTCCACACTTAACTAAGTTCAGCGAGGCAACATAAGGTAGCTAAGAACAAATACAGGGCAGTCTTTCTGCCAATGTTCCCTCCCTCACCCGGCAAACACTAATAACCTCTCCAGGCTCTTTCTTCCTAAGTCAAAAATAGCCTCGGATTCTTCACACAGTGCTCCTACCTGACAGAGTTGTTATGAGAAATTAAATACCATTTGCTATCCTTGTGCAATTAATACTGACCTGGAACACCAGGAGATTGTATTCGAGTAATGTATCTTCTTCTAACTCACTGTGGAACTGAAAATAAGATACTTTACTTCTCTAGGTCTCAACATGCTCACCTGTAAAATGATGATAATGAGCTTAATCCCTTATAATATGTGGAGACTGGAAAAAATGAGACCAGCTAATTTATCTTTTATTTTTTTTTTTTTTGAAGTAGGGTCTCACTCTGTCGCCCAGGCTGGAGTACAGTGGCCTAATCAGAACTCACTGTAGCCTTGACCCCCTGGGCTCAAGTGATCCTCCCACCTCAGCCCACCAAGTAGCTGGGACTACCAGCATATACCACCATGCCTGGTTAATTTTCTCTAAATTTTAATAGAGACAAGTTCTCCCTATGTTGCCCAGGCTGGTCTCGAAGTCCTAAACTCGAGCAATCCTCACACCTCAGCCTCTCAAAGTGCTGTGATTACAGGCATGAGCCCATGTCCAGCCAGGAACAGGCTAATTTATAAATACATTTTAAGGTACTATGATAAAGTGATTTAAGTTAACATTGATAAAAATTCTAGAAGCCACTCCACTTAAATTCTGCTAATTTCAAGGAAATTTATTTGATCTAGAGTAGCAGTTTAGAGAGCTTTAGATTTCACTGAGCAGCCTCCAAAAAAAGCCAAAAAAAAACCCCATAAAACTAGAGGTCAAAGGGTTGCTATCTTTCTATCTTTTAAATTTAATTTTGCCAAAAGAAAACAACATTCTGAAAGATGTTTTCTTTTTGAACTCATCATCACCACCATTTCATTAAAAATGAAATGTTAATATCAAAAAAGAAAGCTTTATGGAAAGCTTACATTGTCCTTAATTATCTCATTTTGCCATAAACTAGGGAAACATCATAGATCAGTATTAGGCCAAGGACCAGTTTGGGGTACAACTAGTCTTTGGAACACAAGCCAACAGACCCTTCCTGAGGTCCAAGACCTTTTCAAGAAGACTTAGGCCTTTCTTCCAATATAAGGCTACCTTTACTGCCTGATACGGTGAAAATAAATAAAACTATTAATCACTAATCTCCAACTCACATAAGATTTTCTCTTTTCATCAGTCATCTGAATGTACACATGTATGTACTCCTTCCAGCTTTAGGGGTTCAATGTCAGCTTTTTACAAGCTACTCTGATTCTAAGGGGGAAAATGCCTTCCCCAGCATCATTTTAGCAAAGTAGAATAAGTATCTGTGTGTGTGTGTGTGTGTGTGTGTGTGTGTGTGTGTGTGTGTGTGTGTGTGTGTGTGTGGTGGTGGTGGTGGTGGTGCTGTTGTTGTTGTTTTTGAGACAGGGTCTCACTCTGTTGCCCACGCTGGAATGCAATGGCACAATCACAGCTCACTACAGCCTTGACCTCCCGGGCTCAAGTGATCCTCCCACCTCAGCCTCCCAGTCCCAAGTTGCTGGGACTACAGGTGTATGCCACCATGTCTGGCTAATTGCTTTATTGTTTTTAAAGATGGGGTTTTCCCATGTTGCCCAAGCTGGTCTCAAACTCCTGGGTTCAAGTGATTTGCCTACCTTGGTCTCCCAAAGTGCTGAGATTATAAGTGTGAGCCACTGTACCTGTCTAATTTAGTATTTTTCTATTGAAAAAAGTAGGAAGTCAGACAGGCATCCTTAGAAGCAGTGGCAGTATATGAGGTACACCTAAATGACTGAATTAATGAGTGAGATTACATTTATTGGAAACCTCTTTAATTATTCACAATGATGCTTCTAGGGATAAATAAGTAGCCAGGCCTTTGTTCTCTCATTTCCACAAGAATACCACAAGCCTATCTTTCCAATTCATGAAGTGCTAAGAAGATCATTAAGTTCATACCTATATAACCACAGAGCTTTTTCAACAGCTTCACTCCAAACAACTCAAATCAATTCTTAACCTCAAAACAACTTTTATACTTTGTAGAGCAGGGTCATCATTCAACTCAGTCTCACTGACTAGAAGCCTACAGATTCTCAGAGGCCTGCACAAAGTTACAGGAGGACGTGCCTCTGGTATTTCAACAAGTTATTTCTACATCTGCCCTCTACTCATCATAAGGTATAAAGACTTTACTCATGAAAGTCTTAAAGGAGAAACATAAAAAGGAGAATAATCACCAAAACAATGAATACTGGATGCTAGGTATCTTCTAGCCCAGTCCACACTTTACATGTAGGCATCTTAACTTCAGATACAAAGAAAAGAGGCAAATGACAAAATCTCTTTGGCCTCGGACTACTCTATCTTATGTTATCTTAACACATGGTAGCCAAATTTGTTTGGTAATGACCTTTTAGATTTTGGGCGGCAATGTTATGGGTTGAATGTTTGTGTCCTCCCAAAATTCATATATTGAAGCACTAATTCCCAGTGTGACTATATTTGGAGATAAGGGTCTGTGAGGAGTGATGAAGGTTAAATGAGGTTAATAGGGTGGGGCCCTAATCCGATAGGGCTGGTTACCTTATAAGAAGAGAAAGAGATACCAGAGCTCCTTCTCTCTGCCATGTTAGGACATAGCGAGAAGGTGGTTATATTCATGTCAGAAAGAGGGCCCTCACCAGGAACTGAATTGGCTGGTACCTTGATCTGAGACTTCCCAGCCTCCAGAACTGTGAGAAATAAATTTCTGTTGTTTAAGCCACCCAGCCTGTGTTTTTTGTTATAGGAGCCGATTACGACAGGCAAAAATGTATTTTTTTATTATTTTGCAAGAATGTACCTTCAAGGCCTTTCTGGATGTGTGCTACTGCGGTAGGGTAAAATCTAATTCCCAAATTAAGCAAAAAGTACTCACCCTCCTAGCAGAAGAGGCAGAGAAGGTATTCTGAGCTGGTGCTGGTATCTGCTCCGTGATGCTACTCTTGCTTTCGGAGTTGGAATGGTTGACAAAGGTTTCCGGCTTTTTACCTGTTATTTAAGACAAGAGAATTAACAACTACTAGTATAAAAATCTTATCTTTGTGTCTATGTCCTTTTCTGCTAATAGAAAAGATTTGCCCATTATCAAAACAGATTATTAAGGCCTTGTAATGCTTGGATGTAAACTAACATAAGATCTCTTGCAACTGTTGGCAGAAGAAAATAAACTCCATGTTATTCCCATCTTGGTAGGCTCCAACTCCAACTTTCAGATAAAAACTGAAAACTATCTCCACGTTATTATATCATATATAAAATCCATATATAATCTGTCCTTTGGGGATCTCATCCTTTTCTACAGTTTTACCCTTCACTTCTTATGCAGATAATTTCCACCTGGGTCCCTACTACTCTGAGGAGTCCCAGATCAAAGTCCAGATCTTAGGCACGCCACTTGCCAGTTATGAAACCTAACTCACCTAACCTCCTACAGTGTCAATTTCCCATTCTAAAAAGTAGTGATAATAATATATACCTCAGAGTGTGGCTGTGAAGATTAAAGAAAAATGTTTAAGTGTGGTGCAAAGTAAAAAGCACTATACAAATGTAAAGTTTTATTGTAATTCCCTGAACTAGATATAATGTTTCTGACTAGTGAATACCATTGACTACACTTACATCTCTCATGTGAAATGTATTTTATTCATGTATACACCTTTCTATTCCCTGACTAGATATATTCAACAAAAAACATTTAATGAATGTGAATGCCTGTTATGTACCAGGCATTGAGCTGAGATCTGGGAGTTCAACAATGAACCCAGAGTTCCCAGCCAAAATGATGAGTGCTACAGCAGAGTTAAGTAGGCAGTGCTAGAGGGACATAAACAGAGAACAATCATGGGGTAGAAAAACAGTGAGGTGGCCCATTTCCTTTCAGCTTCCTATACCAGAAAAACCTAAAGAAAGACTTTTTCAACCTGCTAGATCCTATAGTTTTCTACAGAAATCACTCAATGAGCATTAATGGCCTGAAATGAATTTAGGCTTAAATGGTACAAATGTTCAGAAGCAGGAAAGCTCAGGGCATGTTTGAGGAAATTAAGCAGTCCAACTTGGCCAAAATGTGTCCTTATCTATGTACAGCATTGGAAAGGTCAGCTGGAGCTAGATTATGAAAAGTCCTGAAGGCCAGACTATGGGGCTTGGGGTTTATTTACTCTGTAGGCAAAGATAGAGTGAGGGAGGTGGTCATAGATTTAAACAGAGGTGTAGCATAATCAAAAGGGTACTGTGGGTGTTTATGCCAATAGCAATGTGAAGACGGGCTACAGAGAATAAGAGATCTAAGACAAGGGTACAAATTACAAAGCAATGACAGTCATTCAGGCAGCTCCCTCCCATTTTTCTCATACCTTAGCAACTAACAAAAGTAATCGAGAATAGAGCAAGTTCAGATATTTGTTCCAAATATTTGAAGCCTAGAACATGTAAGTACTCAATAAATAATAAAATATCAAAAAGATGCACATTTATAAATTCTTATAGGTACTACAATAACATTTCCAGAGCATACTGTGCATGATAAATAATAGAAGTTCAAGTCTCAATTAATAAAAGGTCAACTCCTATATTGTAAACTTAGCTGGTGCCTTTCTTCTCTGTAGAACTGGATGGTTCTCTGACTTCCTTTTGGTGACTGACATTCAGTGAGCCTCAGAGACTAAGACATGAAGAAGGGTAGTATTCTCCCATCATGGAGAGAAATCATATCAGCAAAGCCAGACCTCATGAGGAGCTGGTGCCCAGACAACAGAGTAAGTTAAATTATATATATATTATAGGTAGGACAACCATGGCAGAGTTCAGAGGAAAACACAGACTCCATTGTAAACATAATGTGTGACTCCCCTCTAACAGAAACATTTCATCTTAATATGGCAGTGAATGTGGGGCATAGGTACACTATTCTTTTCTCAGTGTTTGCCTGACTATAAATCAAAACTTGTGGATTATTTTCTAGCTTGTTGGTCTGACCATGTTCAACATCTCACTCACTGTTGGGGTTCCTGTCTTGTCAAACAATAAACTTAAGCTCTAGGGCCAGGTGCGGTGGCTCATGTCTGTAATCCTAGCACTTCGGGAGGCCAAGGCAGGCGGATCACTTGAGGTCGGGAGTTTGAGACCAGCCTGGCCAACACAGTGAAACCCTGTCTCTACTAAAAATACTAAAATTAGCTAGGCATGATGGTGCACACCTGTAGTCCCAGCTACTGGGAGGCTGAGGCATGAGAATCACTTAAGTCTGGGAGGCAGAGGTTGCAGTAAGCTGAGATCATACCACTGTACCCCAGCCTGGGCAATAGAGCGGGACTCTGTCTCAAAAAAAAAAAAAAAAAAAAAGAGGAAGCCCTATATGAGGTATATATTATCAATAATAGCCATAAAGGTAAATATGATTTTCTTCCTTCCTTACTCCCCAACTCACGAGAGGGAAAAAAAGATTTTAGGATTCTGTTTAGGAAATCAGGCAAACCTGAGAATTAAATGCAAGTATTCACCAGTTGGTTTGACCCTAAGAGCTTCTGCAAGATCTCATCTTCTCTGCCTCTCAGCATACTGACTTTTGGATTTTGGTTTCTATGCCATCTACCAACCCAGGGTAAGGAGAATTGGATTCCTCACATAAGAATTATTATTTTTTTCTTTTTAAATTTTTTTGTAGAGACAGGGTCTTGCTATGTTGCCCAAGCTGGTCTAGAACTCCTGGCTTCAAGCAAGCCACCCTGTTTGGCCTCCCAAGTGCTGAGGCACCGTACCCAGCATGCACCTAAGAATTCTTTGTGCACCTTATCCTATGGCTACACAGGAATTGGTAGATATAGTCTAACATAGCTCACAGTTTTTATATAAGGGGGTCATCGGCAATTTGATATCTTATCCTTGAAAACTAAACTTCAAGCTCTTTTTGGAGTCCTGTGAGGCCTGGCTAGCTCTCTGACAACGAGTAATCTCCTTACACTATGGAGACAGAGGGTCTTTACTATGAACATCTTTGCATTACCTGCCTCCTTCTCAGTTTCTGACTCAGAAGCTTCATCTTCACCTTCCTCCTCCTCTGAGCTGGAGCTACTAGATTCTTTGTTCTCTTCCTCCATTTCTTGGGACTTAGGTGTCTCCTCCTCATAAAGCATCTTCTCTTTGCTAAATTAAAGATGACAACTTGAGTGTAACTCAGAAGTGATAATCAGGTATAATAAAGGGAACAAGTCTATAAACCTGTATGTGGAAGCAATAACAGAAACACATTCAAATTCTTCTTTACATCTGTGTGTTCTTCCAAACTCTTCATTTTTGCAGACTAAGATTTAGTATTTTACTACAGAGTATGGCTCAAGGAAATCTGGCCTGTTTAACACACAGAAAAAAGGAGAGCTATGAATTTTGATGACAGTGGATAAATATTCAAAAAAATAATTTAACAAATGTTTACTGAGTACTTATTACATGCCAGGAATCACGGTAGGCACTGGTATAGTCATAAACAAAATAGACATTGTCTCATTGTCTCTGAGTTCACGAAACTTACAGTAAGCAGAGGCAGAAGTTGAGACTAAGAATGCCTAAGCCAGGATTTTTAAATGCTGAAATGCTGCACACAGTCTAAATTAATTCTGAAGTTTAAAACACAGTCAACCTTCCTAAGTGTCTCCCTCACATATCAATGCCACTCTCTTGTTCCACATACTTTCCCACAAGTTTATAGATCATGTGGCTAAATACAAACACAGAGTTTCTTCACTTTATAAATTCTGAAGTTAAGTATGTCACTGACACAGAGCAAAGCTCATCCCACTACTCAAGCCTAAATGTCTTACTTCTTAAAGAACCCACTCTGCATCTTGCTGTTCAGGTCTGACTCAATGAGTTTATTCCGTGTCTCCTTTTCACTTCGAAGCTGGAAACGGAGAAAACAGAGAGAAAAGGGAAGAAGTTGACTATTGGTGAAAAATCAGCAGTATTGAGAACCAAAATGATACTGTCATCTTGAAGAAAATAGGACCAACACCAAAGAGGTAGTGGGGAACCGAGAAAAAGAGAAACATATCAGTTGGGTCTCCTTAGATGACAGAACTCATCCAAGGTAGAAGAGAAAAGCCATGGTGTTAAGAACTTCAATAAAACTGCTCCTATCAAATATCCAAACCCAATCTTCAAAAAAAAAGTCTAGATTCTGAAGGATAAAAAGCCAAAAGGAACCTGAAAGAATTCTTTATGATTCATATACTGAAATAAGTTGGCAATATTTCTAAAGAAAACACAGGTACCAAATGGGAAATAAGCCCTTAGAGAAAATGGTCTGCTATTTAGATGCATGCTCTAGATGAAATGTATTTATATCCCTGGAACTCAAAGTTATGCAGAGGGCAAAGATAAGTACCATTCCCACTGGTGTAGAAATATTATTTCATGAATAATACTATTGATGTTCAAAAACCTTACCATGCTAGGTAGAGAATACACAGAACTCTCTATTTTTGCAACTTCTGTGTGAGTCTAAACTTATTCCAGAAAAAGTTTTTAAAATTACAAGAACCGCTGGGTGTGGTGGCTCATACCTGTAATCCCAGCACTTTGTGGGGCTGAGGCAGGCAGATCACAAGGTCAGGAGATCAAGACCATCCTGACTAACACGGTGAAACCCCATTTCTACTAAAAATGCAAAAAATTAGCCGGGCGTGGTGGCGGGCACCTGTAGTCCCAGCTACTAGGGAGGCTGAGGCAGGAGAATGGCGTGAACCCGGAAGGCGGAGCTTGCAGTGAGCCGAGACTGTGCGCTGCACTCCAGCCTGGCCGACAGAGTGAGACTCCGTCTCAAAATAAATAAAATAAAAGTAAAAAATAAAATTACAAGAACTTAACTGTGCAAAATATACAACTTATAATTAGGAAGGCTGTTGCTGCTAAATAACAGCATTGACACTGTATTTGAAAATCCTGGTTTCAGTGATCCTGACTGCTCAACAAAGAGAACAAAACGAACTTTAAGTTGTGTTTGTCTGAGCTTTATGTATGTGACTTTTCCACTGAGCCTTAAAATAACCAGAATCTTCACTTTACCATACCAGACATAATGCTGAACACAACAGAGGTTAGGTATGATCTGTCCCATCATTGTATAGTTCTTTGATTCAGAACTGCTGTTTTCCACATGTGTCTTAAACTTTAGTTTACATTACCTGAGTGACAGAATGTGCAAAAGAAAAAACAAAAACAAAAAACGTCATTGATTTTTTTGCCCCTAATGTCCCACCCTAATGTCATTGATCTTTATTCTCCCCACTCAAATTATTCATCTGCTTTACGAGTAAAAAATATGGCTTATTCACTCTTCATCTGTATATTGGGTGAGTTTTCCATCCTGCAGTCTGAACACAAATACCATACTTATGTAGTTCTCCTGTATAGCACTAATTAAGCCAAAGGCATGCATGACCAAACAATAAAAGATTCAAAATGAGGAGCAGAGAAAGGAGGACTGAATTCTGGATGTTTCATAAAACTGGAGTAAGTATGAATCACTGATCAAATACTCTCTATATGAAATGACAGTTTTAGTATTGTGTGTATTTCCTTATTTTTTAAGAAATAAATATATTCTTCTCCGTAATCAATGTGTTTAAATAAAGATAGTCTTTTAGTCAATAAGAAAGAGAAAAGCTACGAGGTGTCCTCCACTCTGGTACTTTCTATTTGGAAAAACATATGATTTGAACACATCACATTCATTTTCTAGAAATCAAGGGTATTAGTTTTTTGCGGCTGTTTTTAACTTTTAGCTCCTTGAAGGCTATCTTATAATGAGCAAAAATCCTGAGCAATAATGGTTTCTGGGATATATTCTTCTAACAGACTGTTTATAGTTCCTGAAGGGAACAATTAACATCTCTGGAATGCAGATATGTCCATTTCAACTCTCAGCAGACATAACTGAAACAAGCAATTGAGATACTCGGTGTGAAGTGCAAACTATTAGAAAAGTTTCAAAAGCACCAATCAGAGACTCACCACATTCTGCTTCTTCTGGAGCATCTCCAAATGCTCCACGAGACCCTCATCAGCCACATCAAATGGTGTCTGGCCCTAGCAGAGAAAAGGAGCACCATGACTGATAGAAAACAGAAGCAGCAATCACATGACTTTATTAGGGAACTATTCAATAGTCACGTTTTGCCTTTGACTCCAATAGTAGCTGCTTTTCAAACTAATCTACCATACATTATGATAACACCTTCATCTATCACACAGGACACATAACAAGAAACACCAAATCCTTTAAATATAGAGTTTGTACAACAGTATTGCAGAAATCACACCATTTCTAATCCTTATTGCCACCTGGCAAATAATCAAGTGAAATCCCTACTTGTATCTGTTCTAAAATGGTCTTAATTGCTATGATAAATTCCATAAAGAGCTCTTCAAAACTTCAGAGGGAGGTTCAGGGCACATGTTCAATAAAAATTAAATCACAGGAATCATCTTCCTTTAAGTGAGGGGAGGACTGACAAGAAAGTTACTCCTTTTAGGAAGCATCAGTATAATTAAGAATCCTGACCCATAGTCTGAGAATGAAACCTGGGTTCGGGAGAGATGTGACACAGATAAGAATATCTACTAATTAAAAGGCCATGTCTCTGCACTACCAGAAAATCAGTACATATATGGGCTGGGCACAGTGGCTCACACCTGTAATCCCAACACTTTGGGATTACTCAATATTATTCAATATTCACTTTTTGCCTTTAATTCCAATAGCAACTGCTTCCCTAATTAGTCTACCATACATTATGATAATACCTTCATCTATCACAGAGGACATGTAACAAGAAACACTAAATTCTTTAAACACAGAGTTTGGGATTACAAGTGGCAAGGCTGGGGAATCACTTGAGCCCAGGAGTTTGAGACCAGCTGGGAAACCAGTGAGACCCCATCTCTACAAAAAAAAGAAAAAAAGAAAAAAAAGAAAGAAAGAAAAAAAATTAATTAAAACAAAATCAGCCGGGCGTGGTGGCTCACGCCTGTAATCCCAGTACTTTGGGAGGCCGAGGCAGGTGGATCACCAAGTCAGGAGATCGAGACCATACTGGCTAACACAGTGAAACCCCATCTCTACTATAAAAAAAAATACAAAAAATTAGCCGGGCGTGGTAGGGTGCGCCTGTAGTCCCAGCTACTCAAGAGGCTGAGGCAGGAGAATGGCGTGAACCCGGGAGGTGGAGCTTGCAGTGAGCCAAGATCGTGCCACTGCATTCCAGCCTGGGCAACAGGGTGAGACTCCATCTCAAAAATAATAATAATAATAATAAAATAAAATCAGTAGACATAGGGATAGGAGTTCCAGAGCTTCTAAGTTGTTTGAAGTGAGGCTGAATAACACTATTTTCAGCCGAACTCAAGGATCTTTGTCATTATAACATTTTAATGACTCACATGAATACAGCAACCATAAAATCTTTCATATCTTACCACAGACAGTAACATTAGGCTCCTCAAAGCTCATTTTTTGCCAAGAACAAATATATTTTTTTCCTGTTTTAGAGGCTTGAACATAAATACAATCAGAAGGTCCATGGAGTTTTATTTTAAATAACAAACATAACTCTGTGTTAATAGGGCCAGAGGTAAGGTGGTGGAGGGTAACATTATAGCTACCAGTGATGTATATTTCACCAGAACAGTCAGACTGCCAGTGAATAGAGATCTTAAGCCTTTTATTTTAGAGACCCAGCCACCAATCTCATTGTTCTTTTAGAGGTTCAAGCTCACTCACCAGTTTGTTTCGAATATCCATGTCACAGAGTGCTTCTGCCAGGATGGAGCAAGCCTCCTTCACTCCCCAGTGTGCAGCAGCATGGAGGGGAGTCCAGCCATCATAATCCTGAACATTGAGTTCATAGCCAGCCTGTATTAAAAGTCTAAAAAGAAAACCCAAAACAAGACATGTATCTCCTCTATATTACAGTTTTCTGACAAATAAACTATTATCTAATTGATATTTAAGATTTTGGCCCTGAACCACAGGGGTCTTATGATTACTTCTGCCCTCTAAGGCACAGTTTGGGTTTCATAGTTACTACTTTGCATACCAATCACAGATGATCTTTATCAATCCTCTCGAAAAAGTCATAAGATACTTCCTAGGCATATCCATGTTATACCATACAAGGGGAGTATATGGAAAGGTATGTACCTAAGATTAACCAAAGCATAATTCAATTAGCCAAATCACATAACTCTGTTAAAGGTACATTTTCCATTTTCCAGTGCAGGGAAGAAGTAACATATAAAATGAAGACTCTAATAGGCTGTGGTCATTCTATCTATCTGTAATAGTGTCAACAATAAAGTTTAAAAAAATAAAATAAAATGAAGACTTAATTCTCTTCAGGTTATTTTCCTAACTAGCTTTCTGGTTGATCTTTCTAGGACACTATATTTACTGTATACCCACATAACTCCAGTTTTTTGCTAACTATAAAGCTATAATTTAACTTGTATGCATGCAAGAGAAAAGATTTGACTCTTGAAGACCCAAACTACATTGGGGCCCTTATGGATATCACTCTCAGGCAGAAATGGAGCACCAAAACACTGCTATACCTACTAGGAACCCTGTATTAGGTGAAATATGAAATACTGGAAGAGTCCAGTTAACAACTGCACATATAATGCCTTTGGCAACTCAAGTATTTGGGAAAGCCTGCCAACATTAAGTACCAAGAGCTACAGGAAGCATGTATGGATGTAAGGAAAAATGGAACAGACAGAGTAGTAGAGTCCAAATCCCTCACATAATTTTGGCTATCCTGTGCCAGCTGGATACTGCATACTCAAGATCTATATAATTAATCTAATGACACCAAATAAATTATATAAGTCAAAAAGGAACAAATGGTCACAAGTATTACAGTCCCCTCCTAGGACCATATACCTCAACTATGTTTCACACCATACATGTTAGTGAGAAGCTAGAGGAATGGTGGGAGGGAGGGAGACAATCCATGGATGAATACCAGCAAAATGTGAGAAAGACTGTACAATCAGAGAGCAAACCAACAAAAAGAAAACGCATCATAGTGGAAAATCTAAGTCAGCCTCTGCTTCCAAAACCCATTTCATCTTCTCCCAGTGAACCACTCCTGATTGATGTAAATGGACAATACCTGAGGACTTCAGAGTAGCCCTTGGCAGCAGCCACATGAAGGGCTGTAGCTCCTGAGCGAGCCTGCCTCACATCCTCTATTTTCCCACTGTTGAGCCACTGGCGGGCATCCTGCAACAACTGCTGCTCTTCTTCTTTTCTTGACTGCTCTAGATCGACTCCTACAGAAACCAGGACAGCCAGGATTACTAAAGCTCCACTTAAGTTTGACAGGATATTTTCCTTAGATTAAAACACATCATAAATATAAATACAAATAACAATTTAGCCATCAAGTTGGGTAATTATCAAATTTAGAAGATCAATGGCATTTGTACACATATTAATGGTCTTACCAGGATTAAATCATGAGGTTAAATATTATATGATACAGATCCATTAAGGGAATGCACCTAAAATTGTTTTCAACAGAACATAAAGACAAAGGGGACATTATTTTTACATTATAATATTTGTGCAAAGCTATAAACTTCCAAGTCTTTTTACATGTTATACGACTTTAGTTTCCCAACAATCTTTCAAGGTAAATATAATAGATATTACAATCTTCATTTAACAGATGAGGAAATAAAAATAGAAAGATTAGGAATCTGGCTCAAAGCCACAAAACACATTAGTGACAGAGCTTGCCACTAGAACTCCGATATCCTGGGTCCCTCTGTGTCATTCTTCTTCTGGGTCCCTATCCACTCACTATACCATAGGATTAGTATCCAAAATCTTGGTTTCAGGTATTGATATACTTTAAAAATTGAACTATCTCTAAAGTTCATTTCCATATACAGGCAAATACACTGACTTGAATATATATAATCTAGGGCAGATTAGTAGGTGATCTGCAGTTTAAAAACCTGTCTGCTTTCAAGGGAATGCAGATTTTGTTTTCCTTAAAAACATGAAAAAACTCCAAGAGTTACTCCCTTTAGCCAATAACTTTCCAATATCTGTGCCAGTGAAAAGGGGTTAGGGTGGGGCATACCCCATTATACAAAATAATAAAATGTCTCAAATACAAATATACCCATTCAAAAAGTTTTACACTTATTAGCAGTCTTTGTGCTTGGTCTACTCCCTTTCAGCTCTTAAAAGAGAACCTGCCAGGTGCGGTGTCTCACGTCTGCAATCCCGCACTTTGGAAAGCCTAGGTCGGTGGATCGCCTGTGGTCAGTTTGCGACAAGCCTGATCAACATGGTGAAACCCTGTCTCTACCAAAAATACAAAAATTAGTTGGGCGTAGTGGTGGGCACCTGTAATCCCAGCTACTCGGGAGGCTGAGGCACGAAAATTGCTTGAACTTGTGAGGCAGAGGTTGCTGTGAGCTGAGATTGCACCATTTCACTCCAGCTTGCGAGACAGAGTGAGACTCTGTCTCAAAAAAAAAAAAGAGAACCTGTCAAATACCTAAGTATTATCTGTATGATTTTGGGAGGAGGATGGGGTGAAGAGATCAGTTTAAAACCAATTTAAAACAGATCAGTACTCCAAACACAAAGAAGTGTTAGCAGTGCTGCAAAGTTAAACATATATACGAATACCCCTTTCAATAGCGTATACTCCCTCACTGAAGAGTCAGCAATCAAAATAGAAAAAGTGGTTTCTCCAATCAAAACTATTTTTTAAAACTGATTTTTTTTAAAGTTGTTTGTACATTTTAAAGCAAATGTTAGGAGATAAAACTGAGTGAAACTGGAGGTTATGCTAAGCATAAAATTCTTCAATTCAATAGGGCACAAAGCCAGGAGCCATAGCTCATGCCTTTAATCCCAGCACTTTGCGAGCCGAGGCTGGTGGATCACTTGAGGTCAGGTGTTTAAGAACAGCCTGGCCAACATGGTGAAACCCTGTCTCTACCAAAACATACAAAAATTAGCCAGGCATGGTGGCGCACACCTGTAGTCCCAGCTACTCAGGAGGCTGTGGCAGGAGAACCACTTGAACCTGAAAGGCAGAGGCTGCAATGAGCCGAGATGACATCCCTGCACTCCAGCCTGGGCAACAGAGTGAGACCCTGTCTCAAAAAAAAAAAAAAAAAAAAAAGGACACAAAAACTATACATGAAAGGCAGCAAAAGCAAGTAGTTACTGATCTAGAACATCACTATATTAAAGTAGGATCAACATACTTTCTCCAAAGGGCCAATATTTTCAGGTTTGTGGTTCATCCAATCTATCGCTACTACTCAACTCTGCTGTTGTAGCACAAAAGCAGTTTTGGATAATATGTAAACAATGTGCATGGCAAGAATTGGCCCTAACTGTTCTAAAAGTTCAAATTGGGAAAGACCACTGGAGCTAAATCCTCTGGGATGGACTGCAGATTGTGAGTAAGGTAGTTCAGCAGAAGGACTTAAAAAAAAAAAATCACTACAAATCTTGTCCACAGAGTTTTGTAATGGAAAAAGAACCCAGGGACTTCCAGGTTGAAGAATTCCATCCTATTCTGTGAAATTGATTCTCCTAAAACTATAAAATAAGAATAAGCATTTTTAGAATATATTATTCTAAGTTAGCTTCCTCACCTTAACAAATTATCATACTAATTCTCATGGTTAGTTACAATAAATATCTTTACCAGCACCACTTTTAGCTCTCAACAAGGGAAAAGATGCAAAGTCACAAACTGTATTTGGCCAATTCTCAAATTTACACTGGATCCCAATACCATGCATACACACAGTAAGAAATGTTCACACTCCTCATCAGGTCACTCTTAATTGTATAATGGGTATGCAACCTCTGAATGGCAAAAACAAGGAATGATTAGTCATCCTTTTGGCATCTGGCCTACTCTTGTGTGAGTTATTATGAGGATACTTGATGCTGGATTAATGATTAATGCAGTGCAGACAGATCAAATCCTCTCCTGTCATATGACAGTGAAATGCTCTACACAGCAAATGGATTATTTTCTGTAAATGGCAGTGTTTGAGAGTCTTTCCTGGCCCCCTCCAATCCATGAGGTTACCTTGCTTCTTTACTTGCTCCAGAAGAAGATCCTTCATGGCTGGCTCTTCTGCAAGGTCAGAGGGAACTTCACCTTCACTGTTGACAATACCTACACTGGCTCCGTGATTAATGAAATACCTGTTGTAGACAAGATCCAGGATCAATATTTTATGTCAATCTAATATAAATGTTACTCATGCATCTGGCATTGAATACACAGAGAAGTCTCTATTTTGAGTTTAAAATATGGTCTCAGTTAAGATATTCCATTATTAGTTTCTACGTGCCTTAAACTTCCGTAATTAAGACTAAAGGCTTCCCTATTTCCTCACTACAGCAATGCCAACAAACAAGATTTCTTTCACACTTATATTACTAACTCCCATCCTCTCACTCTCAGTGGATGGCAAGAGAATTTCTAAGTAACATAAAAAAGGCATGTAGCCTTAAACTTTCCCAGTGCCACATTGGAGCTTACTAAGTAGTGCTGTGGGTGTGAAAATAAAAGAATAAAGTGTCCATTAAAATTTGTATAAATCTGCCTAAATTATGCCCCCACAAAAGTCTCCTATCAACCAGACATCCACATGAAATCTTCCTCTACTCTAAGACGAAACTAAATTATTTAAGAAGAAATATTAAAATGTTAAGTAACTAAATTCTAAATCCAAATAGAAGACTTGATTCTGAAGAAGAAAGGTCTGATAATTCAATACCTTACATAGATCCTTTTTGATTTTCAAAGTACTTTCAAGTAAAATTATATCTTAAGTCTTAGCACATAAAATTATATCATAAGTCTTAGGCAACATTAGGAAGTAGGCAATGTGGGTATTATTACCATGACTTTAACAAATTGAGGTTCATACATATTAAGTAATTTTCTCAAAATCACATAGCAGGCAAGTGGCAGAGGGTATAGCCCCAGTCTTGACTTTAAATCTAGTTCATCTTTTCTCTAGATCAAGTCACTTTTGGGACAGTGAGAACCCTAATAATGCTAGGAGCTCTATCAAATACTCAGAAGTATTTAAAGGAAAAAGAAAAATAATTCAGATTAGACTTCAATCCATTCAACAATTCAATAAACATTTACTGGTCCCCTACTATATTCAAGAAACCCTTTTTTTTTTTTGAGACAGAGTCTTGCTCTCTCGCCCAGGCTGGAGTGCAGTGGTGCAATCTCGGCTCACTGCAACCTCCGCCTCTTGGGTTCAAGCAATTCCCCCACCTCAGCCTCCTGATTAGCTGGGATTACAGGTGCGTGACACCATGTCCAGCTAATTTTTGTATTTTTAGTAGAGACGGGGTTTCACCATATTGGTCAGTCTGGTCTCCAACTCCTGACCTCGTGATCTGCCTGCCTCGGCCTCCCAAAGTGCTGGGATTACAGGTGTGAGCCACCGCGCCCAGCCATAGGAACCACATTTTAGACACTGTAGGAGATTACAAAAAAAGAGAGAGAGAGATAATATATGGCCACTGGCCACTGCATTCAAAGAACTGGCAGAGGTGGCCAAACGCAGTGGCTCACCCCTATAATCCTTTGGGAGGCTGAGGTGGGCAGATCACTTGAGGCCAGGAGTTTGAGACAAGCCTGACCAACATGGTGAAACCCGTCTCTACTAAAAATATAAAACTTAGCCAGGCATGGTGGCAGATACCTGTAGTCTCAGCTACTCAGGAGGCTGAGGCACAAGAATCATGCGAACCCAGGTGGCGGAGGTTGCAGTGAGCCAAGATCAGCCTGGGTGACAGAGCAAGACTCTGTCTCAAAAAAAAAAAAAAAAGTTGGTAGAGGGAAAAGAATCAATAGAGAGTAAGACCATGTTTTTGCTTTCTCGGTGCCTAGTACCTGGTATAATAGGGCCTCAACAAATGTTTGTTAATTTATAGATCCATTCTACATGTATGAAGCTCAAAGGCCTTCACAATTCACCTGACTTTTAACCATCTCCTTCTTTCCCTTACAGTCTCAGAGGAAGACAGACCTTACTCAATTCCAAAACTAACTCCCTCTATTTGTATTCTTAATTCTATCAAGTCCTAGTATTCCATTCATAAATTACCCTTCATTTCCACATATTCAATAGCTCCTCTCTTCTGATTCCTCTCCCTTAGGCCAAAGGAATATTCAGCTACACCTCCCCAACCCTGAAATATCAAAATGCAAATAATACACATAGTAAGCACTCAACAAATGTTTCCTGGATTGAAGTGTACCCTATACTCTATAATTAAACTAAACCACTTACTGTTCCCAAACACATCAACTCTCACCCAGCTCTCTTCCACAGCTTGTTTCTTCCAACTAGGTGGAACTCTCTCCCTTCTCTTTCCCTTCTAGAAACCTTTCACTTCTTTCAAAGTTCATTTAAAATGCTTTTGCCTTCATGAAAGCTTTGCCTGTTCTCACACACTGAATTCCCTCTTTCCTTCCTTTAACCCCATCCTTCTTCTTCTCCTCCCCAACAAACACTAATTCTAGACCTTGGTCATGACTTACACTGTACCTCGATGCAACCGTTCCATCAGACTGAAAGCTACTTGAATGCAATGTGAAAGGAAAATAAAAACTTGGGACCCTAATTTCACTATGCCAAAAGAAAAAAAAATTAAGCTGAAAGTTGAGTCATGCAAGAAGTTGCCTTAGCTTTTGTTCCTAAGCAGATAGCTATAGATAAAAAGTTAAATATCTCTACAGGTTCTACGTTTACCTCTATGTTCACCTTATCTTACGTAAAGTGAGATTTACTGGGCGTGAGATGAACATTTAATTGACTATTTCCCTACCCGCTCCTTTCCTTGTGAATTCAGGAATGTGACCATGCCCTCCCCTTTTCCCCTCCAGGCTGCTTTTCCCTTTTAAGTATTGAAGTTCTCAACTTGATCTTTGGGGAAAGGCACAGATCTGTCTCCTGGGTACACGTCTTTAACCTTGGTAAAATAAACCTCTAAATTGATTGAAACCTGTCTCAGATACGTTTTGGTTCATAGCAACAACTGGGTCTTCCTCACTATTATCATCGCCATGGCATCTGACACTTGCTTTTTTCTCCTGGCATTCCATAAATATTGCTTGAACTACATGAAATATGTAACCACTCTACTCTGACATCTATTCCATCCCTACTGGATCAGGCATAATGTCACTTGGGTATACAGGACCCTGTTTTTCCCATGTTCTACAATCAAGAAGATGAATTTTTAGAAAGTAATTTGGCTCTCTGTTTTTCCATCTTCTCCAGTTTTAGGGAAAAAAAAAAAGTTAAAAACCTCTTTAGTTTTACCTTTACCTGGACAAGAATAAATACCAACCTATGAAGTAATTTCTACTTTATCTCTGAGAATCCTTACAGTTGCCCAAAGGCTCATAGCTCAATAAATATGCCCCTAGAAAATAAAGCCTTCTTGTCCTTCCTAACTCAACACCAATACAAGGTCTTTATGCTACTATTCTAAGGGAGGAAGAAAGAAAATGAAATATGTTCAAAAATTGAGAATAAATTAGCATCTCAATAAACTATAAAGCCAAATGCTGTACGTTTGGGTCAATCTGCTGCTTCTAAGTTAAACATTATTCATAATAAAAATGTAAAAACACCCAGCTAACTAGCATTGAGCCTGAACTCATTTTAAAATGAGGAAAAAAGCCTCTGAAGCTCCCTCCTTTTGATGCAACATACTGAGACAAAAAAATCATCATGAAACATGAAATAGAATGTACTTGGATTCTTCCTAGAAAGCCAGTTTGCCTTTATTCATTTCTACTCCCTTGAAATTTAGAGTTCCTAATGATTCTGGGAATAAGAGCATAAAGTCTAAGATCTTTCAGATACAAAAATAAAAATGATGAGATGATCAGGGACTGATCTTATTTAAAACATTCTCCATTGGCCCTGAGGTAAAGCAACCAAAATGAATAGTACAATTTTTTTTTCCATTGTGTTTGTATGTATGTGTGTGTGTGTATATAGATATATAAAAGCTATATACTGCAAATAAATAAATGACAGTAAAGTCAAAACCTGTCTAATAATGATATGTATAGTGAAAAATAAAATAAAGAAGGCCATCTCTACCACCACCCCACCTCTGCAATGTATTCTGGTCTAGATCACCTCTCTCCTGTTCATACTTCCAAGTTTAATTTGTAATAATTTGTCTTAGGAAATAGTAGCTCTCACAGATTTATTTCATACAAGGTAATATTTGTCTGAGCTAGAGATTGTTACATTTTGAACTTACTTCCAGAAGAATTATATTTGTTCATAAGGATGAATTAAATAAATCACTGTAAAAAAAAAAAAAAAGCAATTACAATCATTCTCTGTACTTAGCTTCACACACAGGAGGATAATGCCAGCACAAGTGATCCTAATTCTAAGCATGTGCTCTCCTTAGAAAAGTGAAAGAAAAAAACTTAGGAAAAAATTGAATCCTTGAATGTAATGAGATTTGGTAGCTCGAATATCACAAGCATGCCACCTGAACAAATAGCAATTGAAAGGCCAACATGTTCTATAAATGTTTCTTAAATAAATGTTTTAAGTAAAATCACCTCAACTCTTAGGCATCAGAATTCTGGCGTTACTGGATAAGACTGAGAATAAGAGCCCTCCTTCCTGTTAGAATCTGAAAATGGGCAACCTAGGGGATGAAGAGGTTACTGATTTTTACTAAATTGGAACAGAGGGAGGAATCAAGAGTGAAGAAAACTGCACTGTTTATTTCTGGTTGCTTTGGGGCCAACCCAGTCATCCACTTTTTAGAACAAGTAGCCCAGTCAAACACCAGTACTGCTGCCTAAAGTTTCTCTGGCTCTGACTCTCCCTTTGTCTAACTTCTCCCACTGAGCATCCCTGGGTCAGCAGCAAACCTAGCAACTCAGACTCTCCCTTAGGAAACCTGGGCAAATCAGATTCTGTGGGAAGTCATTCTTAGGCCTCTACAGAGCTGCCAACAAAATTCTCCCTGCTGTTTCCTGAACAGGAGAAATGTAATGGAGTTCTACTCATATTATTGAAAAGGGCCTTCAAACAAGCAATCTGATTTTCAAAGGAGCATAGAATATCATGATTTTATTTAGGGAATTTACCTTAACAATATAAATTTACCCTCATCTAGAATATGCTCAACTGCCTCATTTTAAAGATGTTTCGACTGCCAAAGTCTCTTCCTTGTTTAAAACTAAACTCCCCAATCATTCCTTCAAACAACAGATATTTATTCAGTGCCTCTTATATCTCAGGTACCACATGGTCAGGATTCTTCTACCCACAGGAGGGGAAACTAGTTGTCCTGGAGATAGTACCTCCTAATGTATTTTATTAAACATTCCCATTCAACTAATGTGGAGAACACATGCCAGTGCCCACCTTTCCTTTGTTCCATATGTTTAGGCTCATTCTTCTGCTATTAACTACATGAGTGCTGTGACTGGTATGCTAGGCATTTTTTACCTTCATTTGTACTAAGCACTGATTAAAAAAGAAAACAAAAAAAAACAATGAAACAGGTTTACAAAGAATCCAGAAAAAAATCTCCAGGCCTGCCTATATACATGCCCAGCTACAGTTGTTCAGAAAGTGAACCCAGACAGTGGAACAGCCACCTCTGCATATCCCAGCAAATATAAATTACCTGCAAATAGAAGCAAACAAAAAGTTTCAACCAAAAAACTATGGATTTAGCAGCTTTACAAAACATTGTATTAGTTATGTCTTAAAGATAATTCAACTTTCTGCTTTTGTAATCTGTAATAAAGAGAGACTATAATTATTTATAAAATTCAAATTCCTAAGAATAGAGGAGTAATGAAGGCTATTCCTACCAATACTGCAAAGCCACACACACAGAGGCTCACTCACTCTGCTATGTTGAGATAGCCACAGGAAGCTGCTGCATGAAGGGGTGTCCAGCCTTCGTTGTCTTGCTGGTTTACATTGGCTCTGTTCTCCACCAGAAACTTCACCATATCCAAATTTTCATCAATACATGCCTGAAAAGAAAAGTCCGTTCATTCATTCGACAAGTATTCACTGGGTTCCACTATGTGCCAGACGCTGCTCTGGGCATTGACAATGCCCAGCAATTCTAATAATACATTAATTTCTATTTCTTCCATTCTGTCTCCAGAGCATGACTTCTAGGCTTTGTGATCTTATACAAGCTCCTTAAATGTCTCTATGCCTTAATATCTCAACTGTGAAACACAGTTTCACGTATAATGATACTTAATCTTATTTATAGTATTATTAGGATTAATTATGAAAGTGATTTCTAAAGTGCTATAAATGAATAAGCTGTTTCATCATTATATTATGAAAAGGAAAGCATGTCACAAAACACTGATTTGTATATGAATTTTATTTTATTTCACTGCCACCTATTTGTCACAGATGCTTATTAATTTTAAAAGAAAATAATCAGAGGATTGCCTGAAGCCGGGAGTTTGAGACCAGCCTGGGTAACAAAGTGAGACCCTGTCTCTATTATAAAAAAATTCATTCATTCATTCATTTAAAAAAGAAAAAATCACACAGGATCAAATGCAGTTTTTCTCAGTGGGAAGTTGTAGTTTACGACTCTAGAATTGCTAAATAAACCTTGCTTTGGTGAGAAATGGTAGGGTGATCATTTCAAACAGAAAAAATGTATTTTCATGTATTTTCTGAATGGCTTCAAACACTATGGCAAAGTATGCTTGCAGTTATGGATGGTTAGGAGTCTTATCTGTTCATTTCATGGCAGCAATTAGGAGACAGCAGAAACTTTTTGAATAAAGGCTTTAGGCTTACCATAAGACTAAAAGAAACAGTCATGAACAGCAATGAGATCTAAAAAAACCAAAAGGTCTTGACATAGCTACAGAATAAAAATGTGGTAGAAGGTCCACATGTGAAAATGGTAATCATTATCAAGGCTTCGATGGTTACAAAACCATTGGGATAATTCAGGACCAAGAAACAAATGAGACTCCCTTTTTAAAACTTGCCTTTTAATCCCCTCCTTTAAAAAACAAGGCTAAAACTTCAGCTCAGGTAGAATTATCCAAATCAAAGGATTTTCATAATAATATTAAGATATTACTTGCATTTTCATTGTATTGACATTTACACTAATGATGCAAAAGCAATGGTGAGTAAAACTGCTGGTGCCTTAGCATGAAGCAAGACAATGGCATCAAAAACTACCAGCAGGCACTATATTCTTCCCCACCACATACAGTTAAAAAAATAAAAAAGAAAGCCAGTTTCACTTAAGAATAACCTTGAAGAAGCAGTAGAAATTTTTTAATATTCTGTGTGAGAAAATGGAAAGTATACTTAAAGCACTTCTGCTGCATTTTGAGGTATGATGGTTGATTCTAGGAAAAAGCACCTAAGGCCAGGCATGGTAACTCATGCCTATAATCCCAACACTTTGAGAGGCTGAGGCAGTAGGAATGCTTGAGCCCAGGAGTTCAAGACCAGCCTGAGCAACACAGACCCCATCTCTACAAAAACATTAAAAATTAGCCAGGCATGGTGGCATGCACATGTAGTCCCAGCTACTTGGCAGGCTAAGGTGGGAGGATGACTTAGGCCTGGGAGGTCGAGGCTGCAGTGAGCTGTGAGCACTGCTGTCCAGCCTGGGTGACAGGGAAAGACCCTGTCTTGAAAACAAAAACAAAAATAAAAATAAAAACACACCACTTGTGCATCTGCTTCAGGTGTGGGATGAACTAGCCACTTTTTAAAATCAAAATAACACCATTTTTACTCAAAAGAATAACCAACAAATTGTGATAATTCGGACTTGAAAATGAACAAAGTAAGCCTGTCACTCCAGAGAAAATAATCAGTATGTGTTGCAACAAAATTCGACCATCCAAGTGAAGATAAGAATTCCGGAAACAGCTACCACCATGAGCTTGACAGCTTCCCAGTATTCACTTTTCTGATAAGGTCTGTCTGTCTATCAACAAATCTGATTTGTTGATATTATATAATGAAATGTATTTAGATTTGTAAGATCTCTATAACTCAATCAACCTATATTTTCCAAATAAACAAATGCATGGTGTTAGAAAATCATGCATGAAGTAAAAGATTCATTTAAAGTACAAGTTAGACTAATGCGTTTTAATGTAAGAGAGTAAGAAAAGTCCATTGATATGGTTTCAGTTTCCACACTGCACGGACATTTAAGAAACTCATGTCTTAAACTACCATTTCCAAAACTTACATTTAAGAAACTATCAGGTTGGGTGTGGTGGCTCATGCCTGTAATCCCAGCACTTTGGAGGCCGAGGTAGGTGGATCACCTAAGGTCAGGAGTTTGAGACCAGCCTAGCCAACATGGTGAAACCTCATCTCTACTAAAAATACAAAAACTAGGCAGGTATGGTGGTGCATCTCAGCTACTCAGGAAGCTGAGGAATAAGAATCACTTGAACCCAGGAGGCAGAGGTTGTAGTGAGCCAGGATGGCACCACTGCACTCCAGCCTGGGTCACAGAGACTCTGTCTCAAAAAAGAAAAAGAAAAAGAAAAAGAAAAAGAAACAAACCATCACTTGTTGGAGTTTGGTATAATATCCAAGAAAAACATCTACAATTGTCTGAACAGACTATTAAATGGTCCTCCCTCTCCCTTTGAGAGGCCACATTTTATATACTTTCATCAAAATAATATATCACAACAGATTGAATACAGACATTAAAATAAATTTGTAAAAACATAAAACAATATCATTATTTTTAATTATGTCATTTATATTAACACGTAATCAGCGTCATTGTTGCTTTAAATGACTTAATAAGTACATATTTAATAACTACATATTTTAAAAATTTCTCAGTAACATATAATAATCAATACAAACAAAGTCCTGGTTAAATTTTGGGAGTCCTAAATGATTTTTTAAGTATAAAGGAATCCTGAGATCAGTTTGATAACCACTGTCTTTAATCAAACACACCAAAAGATATTTCATGGTGATAATGAACTATTTAAATGGCAAAAGATTACTGTGGAAAGAATTAAAGTTAGAACTCTAGAGGGCCCTAGTAACTACAGGACTTATGTAGTACATATCATACCAAGAGAACTTACAGGAACTCCCTTCAGAGATAAACCTCATATCAATCCTGCCTAGAAGGGGATGAATGAAAAAAGGGTGATTTCATTTAGATGAAAATTTAATTAGATAACTTGGTTACAAACAGCATCTTTGTTATTTTTTTCCCAAAATATTTGATACTTCTTTTATAGTTACTGAGATTAGCTAAAAATGACAATCTAGGTTTGATTTGATGCTATATAATATATTCCTCCAATCTGACCTTCTGGCCAATCTGACTTTTATAGCCAGTATTCATAGTGGTCTAGTTTTCTTTCTTTCTTTTTTTTTTTTTTTTGAGACGGAGTCTCGCTCTGTCGCCCAGGCTGGAGTGCAGTGGCCGGATCTCAGCTCACTGCAAGCTCCGCCTCCCGGGTTCACGCCATTCTCCTGCCTCAGCCTCCCGCCACCTCGCCCGGCTAGTTTTTTGTATTTTTTAGTAGAGACGGGGTTTCACCGTGTTAGCCAGGATAGTCTCGATCTCCTGACCTCGTGATCCACCCGTCTCGGCCTCCCAAAGTGCTGGGATTACAGGCTTGAGCCACCGCGCCCGGCCTTTAGTGGTCTAGTTTTCAACAGCAGCTCCAGAAATTATATTTCTTCTATGATGTTTTCTTAGATTTATCAACTTCCACAAGTATATCCCATTCTTTACCATGTAAAATGTTTAATAATTATTCATATTTACAAATAGTTCATAAGTATGCTTATCACTAAATTGGTCATATATTGTATGTCTGCCCATTTGCAATCCCATATGGCAAGGTCTAGCCAACTTCTCGCAGAGTACCTCACTAAAAACTGTAAATAAACATTTTTATTTTATTTATTTTTATTTTTTGTAAATAAGCATTTTTAAGTAAAAAAAAATGGAAGAGGACACTTTCAAAAAGGTACTGAAGTCCAAGAATAAAAAAGTATTTTAAAGGTTGTGCTAAAAACACTCTTTGCCCTTATTAATACTCCTATATCAAGAAGGCCAAATGTGCCGTCTAAACCTGTGTAGGCCAGGACAGCTAGGTCAATTGCTTCTTGCTGGGTTGCAAAATTTCTTTGGCTCTGAAAGAACAATCTAAAAACTTAGCTCTAATGTCCACACCACTATCAAGCAGACTTTTAGAAGCCAATGTTTTCAAGATCATTCTTTGGCCTTTAAAGACAACAGCAGCCACATTCCAGAGGCCCTAAAATAAGCCCAGCTAGTCCAGGTATCAAATGGGAGAAAACTTATCTTTTCTCTTTCCTCCCCTCTTACTTCTTTCCTTTTCTTAATCTCCTTCACCTCATCACTACTTCAGTTCTCTTCTTTCAAATTTTGTGATATTGTGTCTTATAAATCTCAAATCCTTGATACAAAAAAATTTCTGAGACAGGGTCTCGCTCTGTTGCCAGGGCTGGTCATTAACTCTTGGGCTCAAAAAGCCTCTGTCTCAGCCTTCCAAGTAGCTGGGACTACAGCTACATGCCACTACAGCCAGTTTGATACAAAATTTTATGGGAATGACGCTGTAAGGAAGTTACAACAACAAAACTAGCCTACTCTAAAAATGTAATTTAGCGATCATCAATCTGTGAAGAACCATCTTAGAGAAAATAAAGGAGGCCAACTGTCTAAATCATTCCCCATACCCTCCACAAAGTGAAGGATGGTATATTGTTTAAAACAGTTTTGGCTAGGCATGGTGGCTCACACCTGTAGTCCCAGCACTTTGAGAGGCCGAGGTGGGAGGATCGCTTGAGTCCAGGAGAACCTGTGCAAAACAGTAAGACCCTATCTCTATTTGTAAAATAAATAAAAGCACCAGCTTTGGAGTCAGACAGACCAGGGCTTGCATACCAGCTCTGCTGATGCATACAACCCACAGTGGGGTATCTAACCTAACTATAAGCATATGTA